TTATTAATGGGTGTTTACAGTCATTTCTCCTCACTTTGAGTTGTGCACCATCAGCAAAAGTAGGTCCTGAAAAGTTTTTTGTCATCATGGTCAACTCTACTTTGAGGAGGCAGCTCTTCCCCAATCATATTTTTTGTGCCTTCCAAGATGAGAGGTTCATCTTCCAGCACAGAGTCTGACAGTATTCTGGTGTTCTTCATCTTGTTTCTATATTCAATATTCTGATGCTACCTGACAGTGTTCCACAGCTATTCATAAGGTTTCCATTGACTAAATATTTGGAATTAGTCTGTCTTTCCTTCTTCCAATTTGTGTTCATCTGAAAGTGCATTTGAAACCTGTCCACCATAAGTGACCCTACTGGTATTTAAAATACTGATGGCATACCTTCTAGAATCACAGCAACACACAAGCCACCACAGTACAGCAAACTGACAGATGAATAGTGGAATATTTCATTACACCTCACATTTATAACATGAGGCAATTAAGTTGGTCTCATATAAAAATAAATAGTTAATATATGCATTAGTGATATGTTTAAAAGGGTTATCTATATATATCCATAATGATAAGATTTGGTTTTTTTGTTTGTTTGTTTGTTTGGTTTGTCAGCTATATTTTTTCATTTTATACTCAACTGATAAGTAAATAAATAGGCAAAGAATGAAATGGCAAGGACACGCACATGTTAAGAACAGTTATATTAGGCCTCATGAGCACATACATTACAGAAAGTTGGAATGCAATACCAATGAAACAGAAATATTAACTGCTTGGTTTTTCAACTGCCGAGTGGATTCTAACACATAGTGACCCTATAGGACAGAGTAGAACTGTCCCATATGGTCCCCAAGGGTTCAAGTTTTTACAGAAACAGACTGCCATATCTTTCCTGCAGAGCAATTAGTGCTTTTGAAGTACTGATCACTTGTTAGCCATCAAGTGCTTCATGAACACTGACCACCTGGCCTCCTTAAACTTGGAATAACAAGACCTCAATTTTAGGACTATTTCTGAAAATGGAAGATATATACTAGATTTGGGGGTGGGAGAAGAAAGGATATGTCAAATGATGTAGGCTACGATTTTATGCTCATTATTTCTAGCTCAAGGAACCCCTGTTATCAGTGTTTTTCACTGCTTATCTTGCCTACCAATATACCAGTCTCTGAATATATGCCTTTAAGGGGAAAGGTATGATATGGAGACAAAAAGATTTAAGAGGGAATACAAATATTTTCACCTCTAAAAACATTTTTTGAGGCTTACAGAAACCTCTTATGATATTGTACTTCAAGTGTCTTTTAAAAGAGGCTTTACTCCATGTCACATGCAAATAAATGCATAATGGACTGAACCATGTCTGAGCTAAACTTTGAGTATCAACTGTGATTTCTGGCTGGATATGACCTATTGAGAAATTAATGAGTCAATATGTGACAAAACCTCCAAGGTGAACAAACACAGAAGTTACTTGTTACTTGTTGTTGTTGTTAAGAGTTGTCCAGTAGTGAAAACCCTTCACAACCCTAAAACCTGTTTTCTTTGACTTCATTTCAACTCATAGTGACACTGTAGGACAGAAGCAGAACTGTCTCTTCTGGTTTCTTAGGCAGGTTGCCAGTCTTTTCCCCTGTGGAAGGTCTGGCAGGTTGGAACTACTGAATTCCTGATTAGCAGCCAGCACTTAACAACTACACAGCCTGGGCTCCTTAAACCCATCTCAGCACAGTTATTAAGTGGCTCTTTTAAAAATATATGTATTTTATTGATCTTTTGGTGAGAGTTTATACAGCAAGTTATGTTATCATTTGATAATTAATTTCTGCACAAATTTTTCAGTAATATTTATGACAATGTGTAAACATTCTCTTTAACTGTGCTCTGTTTGTACCATTTCTAATCCTGTGTTGTGCTGCAAGATAATTCACTGGACTGCAAGGTTGGCTTGAACCAAAGGGTTGGTGGTTCAAAGTCACAAGCAGCTACTCAAAAACCCTATATATGTCACTTAATGCCCATTTGGACAATGTCCAAACACATATACATTAGTGGTCCCATAGGATTTTTTATAAAGAGGAAGTAGCTATCCTTTTGTTTACTGTTATTGTTGTTAAGTGCCATTGAGTTGGTTCCAACTCATAGAGACCATGTATAAGATTTCTGAGGAGCAGCTGGTGAACTTCAGCTGCTGACTTTGCAGTTCAAACCAACCTTGTAGTTCAGCGCATTGACCTACAGTGCCACATAATCATTTTCCCTTAATGGTTTCAAAATCTCCAAACCCAGTCTCTTACAACTCTGGATCATGGGTGTCATATAGGCAGATAAGGCAGAGGACATCGCTCTGGGCATGGGTTCTGGGGGTTTATCCAGTGATCAAGCAGTGGTAGGAGCTGTCAGACCTAGGATAATCCTTTTGTTCAGGTGGGCAGAATAGTGAGTGAGGCTGGACAGCCTCCACTTCCTCTTCATTTGCTTGTTTTTACTCCACTCCCACACTGGTCTGTCTGCCACTGCTACTGCTGTTACACATTACTTCAGCCTCCAGTAGCACCGACAGCAAGAGCAGTAGTGAAAACAGCAGCAGCAGCAGCAACAGCAATAAGAACTGGAAATGGTCTCCCATGTTTTAATATGGTGTTTGCCTAATACCCATATCATATAATATCCTATTTCACAGAACACATTATGGACATTAAATAATGCATACTTGCATGTGTTTAATGCTCTTATCTTTCCATTTGGGGTATATATACTCCCTTGAGTAATATCTGCAAAACTGCTTCTGTTAGTATAGCAATTTTCCAGAGACATTGTTTTGGGAATATCTTGATTTCCCCCCTTCTTTTTGAATAATAAGTTTGCTGAGTAAAGAATTCTTTGTTGGCAATTAATTGCTTTTATTCAGTATTTTATACATGTTGCTCCATTGTCTTCTGTCTTCTAGAATTCCTTGGGAGACATCCACACCGATTCTTATGAAAGATTCTTGGTATGTTATATTTTCTTTTTATCTTCCTTTCCAAATTCTCTCCTTGTTTGTGATTTCCAAGAATTTTATTACAATACAATACTGGGTTTATCTTTTCCATGTTTCCTATAGTGTGGTCCATATAGCTTCCTGTATTTGCAAGCTTAGTACTCTGTTCAGTTCTGAGAAATTCTCCCTCTTGGAAAATTTGTTCCATGACTTTGTTGTCATGATGCTCTGGGATTCTAATAATTTTAAAGTTAGATTTTTAAATCAAATCCCTATTTCCATTTGGCTTTCTTTGTTCACTTTCTTTTTGTCTTGTTTCTCTTGAGACTGTCTATGTTCAGTTATTTTGTCTTCTAGTTCATTTATTCTATCTTCTGTCTTTGATTCTGTTGAGTGTTTTTCGTGCTTTCTCTAATTTTATTCTTCATCGTCACTTCTCTTTGGTTTACTGTGATGTTTTCAGTTTCCTGGTTGAGTCTCTCATTTTGTTCTTCATTTGTTTCTTAGTCCCCGAGAGCTTATTTTCCCTGTGTGTTTTGCTTTCTTTAACATACTTAACATCATAGTCTGAAAAATTTCAATTCATTCCATTTATCTGGCCTCCATAGGAAAAATTTCCTCTTGTTTGTGTTTTACCTTTGACTGGTCCTTCTTTGCCTGTGATTTTGTGTGTTTTACTGTTTTCTACTGAATTTGGGCTATTTTGATAATATTTTTTTTTCTTTTTAATGTTACATTTGTGTTCTGATTCCTGTGGGAGAATGTTCTGATTGGTCACCCTGGTGGTGCAGTGGTCAAGTGCCTGGCTGCCAAGCAAAAGGCAGAGGCCCACACTCACCAACTGCTCTGTGAAAGAAAGATGAGGCAGTCTTCCTCTGCAAAGACTCACAGTCATGGAAATCTCACAGGACCACTTCATTCCACCCAGTGGCAGTGGACCTGGTATCTTCTACTGAGAACCGCCAGAGGGTACTCTTTAGTGGAGTTTTTCACAGTACTGATTCAGTTTGATCTGTGTAACCCAATATATATGTATAGGGGTGGATTAGCTGGCTGCATGCACTGTTATAAATGGTAGGGTTCAACTTTCTGGATGCTCTCCAAATGTTTTCCTTATGAGTGCCCCTGGACAGGCTCTCACACAGTGTACTGCCATGAGCAGGGAGCCAGTCTATACTCTGCTTGACATCCATCTAAAGTATTCCCCTTGCCTGTTGCCATAAATTACAGTCCTAGGGCCCATCCTTATTGGTTCTCAATGAGATTTAACAGCATTCTCACAGTGCCATGGTTTGACTTCATCCCTCCTAACAGCCTGGCCCCAAGACTCTCACAACTAATCTGTGTTGTCTAATAAAACTGGGCTCCAGCTTCCTTAGATTAGCTGCTTTTCTGTGTTCCCTGTTTAGCATGGGCTCAACCCACACCCAAAATGGTTGTGATGAGCAAGTGCTCCAGATGCCAGTGGGTAGGTTCTTTAGGTTCCATTTTAGCCCTGCTCTTCCTGTCCCCTGCTTCTGGACTTATGTAACTCTCCAACACCACACCGGCATCTGTAGACCTGAGATCTAAGTCTGAGCTTGTTTTTATTTGTTGATGGGTGAGTTAGTTGCTGAGGGAGTAAATGACAGCACCCACTCACTTTGCCATCTTGTTCCACCCTCTTAATTAACCAACTCTTCAAAAACATTCTGATAGTAACAAGTATGCTAAGAATAATAAGACACTTTCCTTTTACTTAAATGAGAATATGGAAAATAATCAGGCAAACTCTACAAGGGACTTCAAAATTTTATGGAATGATTCCATGATCTTTTACTTCTATTTTTCACAAACTTTGTAAAACATGCTTGCATAACAGAAAGCTATAATTCGAAACACTAATTTGTTCAGATATGTAATTCTTATGGCAACCAGATTTTAAAAACACACTCTTATGTGCTGCCACCTTCTGCTCTTTTTTATTATTGTTTGTTTTTTTACCTTCTGTACTATTAATGCACCAAGTACTTACATCTGGAATAAAGCCAATCTCATTGAGATGATTACTCAGCTCTGGATCATGGAATGCAATCATCTGAGAAAATACAGTTAGATACTCTGAAAAGAAAAAAGAAGTTTAAAACCATTGTTATTTTTTTTTATAATTACCTCAAATGTGATATTAAATTCACATACATTATAGTTCTATTTACATCTTGAATAGCTTAATTTCTTCATGAAAGAAACATGTTTCAAAAGATAATTTTCTCTTGCAGTCCAGGAATGGAGGTCCCTGGGACCATCAAGGGAGAAGAGTGACACCAGAGATGGAGGCAAAGACGATGACATGGAAAGATGCAGCAGCTGGGGACTTTAGACCCAGAGAGGGAGAGGGGCTGTGTGCTGATGACTGGGGGGCAGGCTTGCAGGGTATACCCTTTGGTTGGTTGATGATTCATGGAGGGGATTGTAACTATGGCAATGAAATTATATATGATAGGATGAATGTAAAACGAATGTTCTCCCAAGTAAACTATCACATAATTTATAATAAACATTTAAAAAAAAGATAATTTTCTCTCTTGTTACTACTTTTACCACTTTAAAAAGTTAAATATTAAATAAACATACCATAAAATTTTATGCCTTCAAAAAAATTTATGACTTCTGCCTTCAAAAATACTACTTCATTTCTTGAGTCATAAATTGCATGTTTGTAATGATGTTTCCTATTAAGTTCTACAAATACATTTTCTCTAATGATATAAATCTGTTTTTGTATTTCTTGAATGCTCAGAAAGTATAATAGATCCTTAAATAAATAATAACCCAAATAGTCACAAAGAATAATTGTACAGTAATGTTTATATGCATGTATATACATATGCTGTTATTGTTAAGTGTTGTTGAGTTGGTTCCAACTCAATGACTTTGTGTATTTTCCAAGGAGTGTCTGGTGGGCTTGAACTTCTGACCTTGCTGTTAGCAGTCCAGTTAACATCAGGATTCACACACACACACACACACATACACCCCCACACAAACATATAGGCATCTGTTCGGCTCTAATTTATTTCCATCTAAGACTCTGCATTTGGCATACTAGGGATAAGAACTAATAGTCTCTTAATCAGAAAGTAGGTATACAGTGCTGTTGCTGTTATGTGCCGTGGAGTCGGTTCCGACTCATAGCGACCCTGTACAGGGTTTCCGAGGCTGTAAATCTGTACGGGAGCAGAAAGCCTCATCTTTCTCCCGCGGAACTGCTGGTAGTTTCAAACTGCTGACCTTGCGGTTCGCAGCCCGATTCGTAACCACTACGCTACCAGAGCTCAATTATAGTTTTTTTGTTGTTAATTCTAATTCTATTCTAATTGATAAGGTTCAGTGTGGAATGAGTAGAATATTTTGTTCATTTTTTTTTCAACAAGTTATTATTCTTGCCAATTTACTTACTATGCAGTTATCTAAACAAGATTGTGATATTAATCTACTCAAGGGCAAGTAACCACCATATTTTTACTAATAAAAAACCAAAATGAATACATATTTCAAAAGACTTAACATCCTTTTTGAAATTAAAATAACAATGTAATTAAAGTTCCTTTTTAATTAATAACTTTAATTCCCTCTTTAATAAAGTAGCAGATACATTTTCAAACTAATATTTGGTGCAAAACACCTCTCAGAATAATATCTGTCTTACTTCATTAGTTGTTATTTTTAATCTTTCAATAAATGTTATCAAATCCTTGACAAAATGATTCTTCCCTATTTCTTTCAATTAAATATTTGCTTCTAATTGCCAAAGTAATTATAATGATTTATTTATAAGCAATGTTACATAGAGTATTTTACAAAGAGGAGCATTAGGTCAAATAGTAAGGGAGAGTAGGTACTGTATTTAATTGTATAACAAAAAAGCTGAAGCCTAGATCTAGTGCAAACTTGGTGCTGGACACAGAATGGGTATTTATTTAACACCTTTTCTTGGTCTGGTGCTCCAATTCCACAGAATTCACTCTATCCATTCACTGTCTTGCCTTCCTCTAATAAGAAAAAATGTGCAACTCGTATCAGTTACAGGAGTTACAGATCAAACTAAAGACCTAAGATACATCTGAAGGCTCCAGAGCGCTTTCTAAGTTGAACTTTTCTTTAGCTTTTTTTTTTTCTTCTTTCCATTAGTGAGGGTATATTTACAGTTCTGATTTACCCAAAAGTCATAAGTATGTAACATTAGCAAACATAAACACTTAAAATATGTTGATGAAACCATATAATTATTAACTTCTAAAAAGTACACATAATTTTTAAACTGCTGTAAGCACTTCTGACAATTATGCCCCAATTTATTAAAGATCATTTTTGTCAGACTGATAAAAGATAATTACTATGTGGGGTTACCTGGCTAATTAAAGAGCTGCTTAAGAAATCTAATCTATTATGAAAACATTTTCCAGGTTTTTGCCAAATACTGATGATTGGATTTATTTGTGTTATAACTACATGCTTTTAGAGGATATTATTTTTCTCCATATTTGTATCTTTTAAGCACAAACATACAGACAGACACATATATACACAAATACATATACATTTATTATATGAGGGTTAGTAAAAATTTATCCATACTCAGTTATATTAAAACACTTGTTAACATCCACAGCTCATGACAACATTGAGCATTCACATAAAATGAATCTGTCGAATAGACGAGTGTCAGTGGATTATGTGGGAAATCATTTGCAAATTTGCAATGGCGCTGCCTACGAAATAATCCATGACAGACTTGAGTTTTGAAAAGTTTGTGTGAGATGGGTACCAAAACAACTCACAGAAGAGTATAAACAGAAGCATTTGGACATCTGGAAACAGATGGACCCATACTCGAAGGAAGGTAAAAGTTTCTTTAAAAAATAAATGTTACAATACACAAGAAGGGGGAGGGGGTGGAAGAACAAGGAAGTTAGGGGAACCCTGAGGTAGGTTTGCATGGGCTAAATGGGACAGAGGTAAATCGTTAAGTACATTCAACCTTGGAAATGTACATAATCTGTGATACACAGATACACGGATTGATACATGGACCGAGGCATAGTTTGAAGAGGGGAAATAATGTTAAGATGATTGACTGACTTATGAATATTGGTTTCACTTGCCTACTATTATAAAATAAACACTTGAGTGGGAATAGAAAGGAATGTCAGGAAACATTATTACAGAAAGCTTATAAGCCCGTCTTCAGCCTATAACTGATTGAAATACCTAAAAGGACTTCTAGAACTTGCCCAGTGAAATAGGCTTCATGAGGAGCCTTTGCAGTGAATAGTACCTTAGGTGGAATTCTGAGCCCCATCCAGAACCTTCTGAGGTGGGACATTCCAACTAAAAAGAATAAGCAGACCAGCCTGGTGAACAGCTAGAGTGACAGAAGATACATCTTCAAAGAAAGATCATCAGGAAAAACCAAAACCAAAAATGGCAGTATGATTGGCTACTAAAAGAACAAGCAAGTTGTTCACCAGGAGCCATCAAGGCAAGCAATCAAGTCCAATCAAATCCCCCTCCAAGACTGAAACTCAAAGGGAACACATGAGCAGGCATGTAAGCTTGCTGGAAACCATGTTGGTATTCTAGTGAATGAAAGAGGGGGAAAGGCAGCAATGAAGAAATGAGCTGAGTTCAATCACGTTTCATAGACTCCTGTTGCACTGAAGATGAGAGAGAGAAGATGAAGGGCTGGTTGGTCCAAAGTGTGGTGAGACCTGGGGACTCCTGAGCCCATGGACAAGAAAATAGACATGGAGGACTAGAGCTGAGAGTGAAGCATCCAGCTGATATGAAGTGAGAGGAGATGTACAAGAATGCTCAATCTTGCAGATAGTACCCATTTGACCTAGCCTTGATGGCTTGATAATAAGAACTCAACTGGAGGAAAATTAAAAAAAAAAAAAAAAATTAAAAATTAATAAAGGAAATGAGTGTAAATTGTTACAATTTAATGTACTTGACCTATACTTATGGATGTAGTATCTCAAAATACCAAAGAGAGGGCAGGAGTCTTCATATCAAGTATCGATCATATCCCTTCTGTATACAAGGTAGATAAGAATGGGCAATTTAGACATTGGCCACCTAAAATGAGGGGGTGACAAAGGCAAGGAGTGATTGGCTTACAAGTTTTCAAGAGGGAGTTTATTTTAAGAGTGTGCATTCTTTGGGCAAAGTACTGAATGATGCAGAAAGCATCAAAAGAAGATGGAAAGAATACACAGAGTCATTGTACCAAAAGGGAATGGTTGACGTTCAACCATTTCAAGAGGTAGAATATGATCAAGAGTCAATGATACTGAAGGAGGGAGTCCAAGGTGCATTAAAAAAACTGGCAAAGAACAAGGAACCAGGAATTTTTGAAATAAAAATTGAAATATTTCAAGAAAGTGAGGCGGCACAAGAGGTACTCTCTCATCTATGCCAGGAAATTTGGAAGACAACTATCTGGCTGACTGATTGGAAGAGATCTGTATTTGTTTCCATTCCAAAGAGAGGTGACCCAAGGAATGCAGAAATCTTCAGACAATATCTTTGATACCCCAGGTGAGTAAAGTTTGACTAAAGGTAATACAGAAACGGCTGCAAACATACATTGACAGAGAACTTCCAGAGGTTCAAGCCAGATTCATCGGAGGCCATGGAATGAGGGATATCACTGTCGATGTCTGATGGATCTTGGATGAAAGCAGAGAATATCAGAAAGATGTTTACCTGTGCTTTATTGACTACGTAAAGGCTTTAAATTGTGTGTATCAGGACAAGCTAAGGACAACATCACAAAGTATGCATATTCTGGAACACTTAATTGTGCTCATGAGGAATCTGTAC